ACAATAAATAATCCATTAACATCAAGTTATTAGTATCAGGGAAATATGAAAACTAGCACCATGAACCAGTAATTGGAAAAGCTAGTTCAGAACAATTTTAAAAATCTATTAAACAAAGACAAGCATTGATTGCACTAAGATAAAGCTTTCAGCTTAATATATTAACAGTTCCGCAAGACCCCTAACAACTTTAAGAACCTAACGTGGCAATAAGATATGCTAGCACATTGACAGGCACTTGTTTTTGACTATGAGTATCTTACTAACACAGTATATTTTTGAGAATTGTTTAACAAGAACCCTCAATTAATCTCACATGAAATGTTCGCTAAGATCCAAAGACCAAGGGTGAAAATTCGGCAGTAACAGTGCCTTAAATACCAATTGAGTCTAAGCCTGCAATCGTACTACATACCAAAATTAAATAGGCCAGGAAGTATGTGTTGAGGTGAAAGCTATTCCACGATGCGAAGTGAACGAGTGGACAATGTTGGTAATAATAAAAGATTTAGATTTCACTAACCGACGTTTTTATTAATAATTCAGTGTACGCTGAGGCATTCTTGTCGTTTGATTCACATCACATAGCACCCTAACTAAAATTACAGTCATACGTATGACTGATAAAATATGTACATATTTTATCAACAATTCAATATGGAGTTCTGCTCGGTAATTAAAGTAGAACACAGAATCAGTGACAATCATATGGAAATAAGACAAAGTCGATGTATTAAAGCAAGAATATTAAGGTACAGAATCTTGATCTTCACAATAATTTATCGATCGTTTCGTGATGATCAATAACGACAAACTAACCAAATTGAGCGCTGGAAAAATTTACACAGGCCGCGTCAGATATTGTCTACGAAAAGCAAACTAGAACATTTTGTGTGTAAAACGTTTTGTGTAGGTTTTCAAAAAGCATCATCAGAAAAATAACCATGATGGGAAAAAATTCACTTTGCGCTTCCCGAAGTTACTTGGAAATGGTGACCTTGACAAGCATACCTAAAGTGTATCGGTGTTTTTATCATGGTCACAGAGGTGCGGATTATTCTCATTTCAAATTTTCCTGAGTTCGAATGCGAAAGACTCGTTCTGAGGAATATAGTCGAAACTAATTTGAAGCGATTTTGTCTTGAGAATTATAACTGTGATTTAATTGTAAACATGATATCATCGAGAAATTAACCATGAAATATTCAGCTTTTTGATCCTCAAAATGATGACTGTTATCCTGAGCTTAAGCCCAGCACTACGTTTACTCTTGGAAAAGTGACAGAATGGAACCGGTCTCCACAGCAACCTTTTCTACTGGTAAACAGTGAAGAGTACTTTCTCACAAATTCAGTTCTTAACAGGCGAAAAGCTGTGGAACAGAAAAATTATCGACTCACTTGAAAGAGACCACTATGTAGCAATCAAAGAAGTCCTCGAGAATTCAGACAAACTAGCAAGTGACAGATTCCAGAGTTCGTACCGGTTCGACCCAGTGCACGAAATTTATCGTCTAAATGTGGTAAGATTTATTGAGGTGATTGACATGACTTAAGTAATTGTAACGTAACCTGTCTTTTGTCCAAAATAGGATTTATATTATTAAGTGATTGACGTGCAGTTTTAGAACCACAATGTCGATTTTCCATTTTATGTGCTAACGCTCTGGTTAACATGTTAACATTTAATAACATTCTGATAGTTGCTAGTTTATGGCTATTTCTTTCTGTTTGGAAGCAGAGACTTTATGTTTGTTAATTTGGAAAGGGAGTAGGTAAGATTTGTATTTCAGTATTGTGCCGAAAATTTCTTATATATTTGTGTTGCTTATGATATCGCAATAAATTGCATTGTGAGCTTTTATTATCACGAGTTGCAGGAAGTGATTGTCTAATTACAACATCCCATCATAAATCTTAAAAATGCTGATGGTTACTCTAAGATTCAGGACCACATAGCCAACCATCCAAGGCTGAGACACTGTGATCTCTGCTGATCTTTAAAAAGGATAAAATATTTAAATTTGACAAATCCCACAGGAGTGACTGAAGTTTTGTTATTCCAGTCCTTAGGTACCGAATGGGTACGATTCATCTCGCCATAATAGGTATACTAGTCTAAATGATTTGACATCATTTGTATCACTTTAAATTGCTTAAAATGGGAAGTTTATGAATTTCGTTTAATGACTGTTTGGTGATTAAGTTGCCCTACTCCTTATTGATATTCCGAATGAGGATGATCTACTGAGTATGTGGTTGAACAGTTTTGCAAGACCTGTGACGTTTAGTGATTATTACCAATGTTTCATTCTAATTCGTGCTTTCCTTAAGCCGTCCCCTATAATTCAATAGCACCAGAAATGAAAATCGCCGAAATTAATCTTGTGCATCCTAGTACATATCAAAACGTGTAACTTCGAAACTTAAAAAGAAAGTGATCATCATAGTGAGATTTTTAACCGTGTGATTACAGTAGCATTCAATATCAGCCTTCTTATTAACTCTCATGAAATATTTTCTACTTGATTTCTTCAAGCAAGACAGTGAGTGATAAAGGCTCAAAAAACTGTTAGCGTTTTGTCGCATACTTAGACTCACTACTATTTATCGACATTTTGTATTTCATTGTTAATCCGAGGATAATCATCATGTCTTGCTTTAGGAAACGAAATTAAATGACTTTTGTGTTTTTCAGACAGACGTTTCATGACACTAGGTATGAAGGAAATCGTAACCCTAGACATATATCGCCTCACGAGCGTATATTTGCATACTGCTCTGTTTCGAATGACCAACAAACTGTAACTACTCACACATATTATCACAACCCGTACTTGAATATAATGCTGGGATGATATGAACTGACTTGACATTCTTCTCTAGCATGCTTATTGCAATGAGATTGATGAGGGGGGGGGGCTAAATATGTCATACTAAAAACGACTAAAGTTTAGATGAGAGGAATGTTAAAGAAAATTTTGTTTTGGAATTACTGGTGAGGGTCAGCCATTTAAAATGTATCAGGTGGATCTTCAATATCTTAAACAAACTGAAAAACTAATAAATTTATCGCTATTTTCGCTTTCAATTGATTTTATTGAACAGATAATATATTCTTAATGGGTGATGATATATAGTTAGTAAAACAATGTTCCCTATCTACAAAATACTAGGTGATTTTCTGAGGCGAATCATCTCTAGCATGTCTTTTAATGTAAACGAATTGGGTTGTTTTTTAAAGTTAAGAGGACAATCGCTCTTAGTGGACTGGCAAATGAAGTAAACATGACACCTTTATCGATTGTTACGTGTATCGTGTGTGCAGGACTCCATGAAATGACCGTTGCATGTATACTGTTAGCTTGATCTTTGATATTCTTATTCCGGTAGACTATATATTGACACTAAAATCTTCCGTTTAACTTAACAAAAGCCAATATGATATTTCACAACTCTTGAGTATTTTTTAAGATATAAACTTTGAGACCTGAAAAGCATCGAAGTAGTGCTTATGATGTAAATGCATCCGAACACAGAACTAGTTGTCCTTATGTATCCAATGATACAATGAGTGGTCGATATGAGCCAGTTTTGTGTTTCTAAAAGAGTAACGGATGCAACTGCAAAGTTTTCAAGTAGAAGTTTGCTCTCACTAAAATAGCGCATTCGCTGACAAATTATGTAATGAATAAGAGTCTTTCAAAAGAATGGAGCCATTTAATTTTGAGCCAGAGCTTGCTGGAAATGAATACACAATACAAAAGATACATGTTTATTTGTTGCCATCTGTCACCTACAAATCTGTATATGATGAAGTAGCTTACAGGCAAAACACATTACTCTGAAGTATTTTCATTGGTTTACTACTTGTAGAAGCTCTGGTAACAGTGGTTATACAGAAGTGAAAGTCATAGTCTCTTTTGGACATAAAAATCAAACTAGCCACAAGTTGGTCTCTCCAAAACTCACCTTCGCTGGTGTAGTAAGCTAACAGACCATTATAAAGAAACAAAAACCAACTACCGATGAAATATTCTACAAAATAACGGCCGATACTCAAAACGTTTGGGGTCGCTACAAGATAGGGCTTGAAAAATAACGGACACACATGTGTTACTTTCGTTAAAGATCGACAAGTCAGCTTGAAAGTTAAGAAATTTGCTATCAGGAACGAAATAGTGTCGAGATAGACGAGAGTTTAAGTGTGATGCTTCACTCACTAAATCTTCAGTTAGCATGATTATGGCGCACATAAAAGACGTACTTTGTGAGAGTAATTTATTACTTGAGGCCATACATGAATGGTTTAACGGTCTTTATCCGCAGTTAATCCTTTAAGCCATACACATAAATAATGATCGAGTGTTTGAGGGCATTATATGGTCGGTAAGTTTTATTATCCATTAAACTATCAAACTATTTTGTAAACCTGGATGAAAAGGAACCGATGGTATCATTTACGACATCAATCGAACATCTCAAATTGAGAGTGGTTCAAAATTTTTCAACGAGTAGCCCAACGATAATTGTAAGTTTACATCATCTCATCATTTAGGACATTTTTCAGCGCTTCAGGACTTGAACTATAGTGGACCACAATTGAGAGCAGTCCTCTAAACATTAGTAATGTTACCTTACTCAAGGACTGTCGAAAATTCCGTGTTGTTGAAAACACAAATGATGAGTCGACAAATCTTTACAAGTGATAGTATATTTTATTAGTAAAAGTCACCACTACATACTCGCACGTGTAATTACACATATACATACACACAAACATACATACATACATATACATACACAAAACGATGGTACCCACTGCTCATCTGGGACGAGGTGGTCAGTTATCAGTACTAAGTTGAATGAAATGAATGACTCATAAACCTATGAAATCTAGTCACTGATTTTGTTTCATGCAGCCCTGTCATCTATCATAACAAACTAAAGATAATTTACCACTCATTAGCAAGTAGAGATCCTAGAATAGACGTTAATAGCATGAAACCAATAAATGAGTACATAAAAGCTTCAACAATCTTAATTCAACAACACTTGTACGACTTAACAGGGGAATATTTTACAAATCAAGTTATAGCCTCTAACGTATTAAAAATGATTACTGTTTCGTTATTTGAAAAGTTAGTTCTGAAGTATTTTCTTTATTCATTGTCTAAAAATGATATGTCATTCAGAATGCTTACAAGGATGACGAAGCAGAAAAATGTTTTGAAATAGTACAGAAAGGTGTTAATTTATGCATTGAGAAGAGCATATTTACTTTGGAAGAAATGGAACCATACCTGGAATCAGGTTAGTTATATAAATTGACACGAATGAAGTAAGTTTTAACAAGTTTCAAAATTGCATTATCTTTTAAACGATAAAAGATATTATAGTAGATCGATATTAGTTCATGATGTTCTTAATAGTTCCTATGCTAAATTATTTATAATATGATGATACTTAATGTTACAACTACTCATTTTTTAACAATAGTCTTCCAGTCAATTCGTTTGAAAGCATTTCATGCAATAAACATTTGAGCTATTCAAATCAACAATATATTCTGCTAAAGTTTACAAGCTATGAATGAATAAATGATTCATGTTTTCAAAAAATATGACAGAAATCTTGTTATGTGATACTCAACTTATCTAAACTGTTTTATGTAGTGGTAAATAAAGAGAATGGCACGAGGATTTTCTTGAGTGAATGTCATCAACTCATAGCAGGACTAATTGAATTAATTTCTTTTAGCCATGATGAAGTTAATTTACCACATCTGAATTCGTTTTTTAATTCCTAAACACCAGTTCATTTGTTACATACAACTTAGAAATTCATTTATCCAACTGTTAAGTTCCTGATAAATTCCCAAAAAGCTTAAATCTCTACACTTCAGTATAACATCAGTTAATGAACGTTTTGCTGAGTTTGTTGATTTCTGAAAAATTACTGACTTAAGATATTTTAAATTAAGCTATATGGATTAGTCCAGTAGCTATTCAAAAGAATACGAATTGAATACATGTGGTTATTTCGTTTTAATCTTCTATAAATTTAAATCCCAAACATTTTATCTATTAGTTCACATGGTCAGAATGAGTTGGTTACTACTTTTCAAATTTAACAAACCGATTAACATTTGAAAGGTAAAAAAACGAGTTAAGAAACAATATCGAAAAGATTCGATGCGTTACAAATAATAAGTTTAAAATAGAAAATATGGATCCTTGAATGATTCAACAAAATGTGGATCAATGAACTTAAGGAATTAGGAAAGGCCTTGAGATCGAATGAGATAATAGTTAAAAAACTAGACTACATTAATATTTTTAAAGAGAGTGATATAAGCTAAGCATTAGTACTTATTATATTTATGAGAGAAATAACTCACTGATTTCAAAAAACTACAACGAATTGATTTACATATATATATATAATTTCAGTTAAGTGATTAAAACTTTGAGTGATCTTGTATTTTTAAGATGAGTAATTAGATTGTGAAATCTACATTATCACTAGAAACATTGAATTTTTTTATTGAAATCATGAACCGATTGATATTAGACCACCGTTGGAAACGTGGAAGCACTGGACGGCCGTTTCGTCTTATTTTGGGACTCCTCAGTAGTGCGCATCCACGATCCCGCCCGCGGGATTCGAACCCAGGGCCTTCAGTCTCGTGCGCGAAGGATTAAGCTACTGGACCACTGAGCCGGTTCATGATCTCAATCAAAAACTTAATAATGTTCACAACCCCTATAGTGATAGATTACATTGAATTTTTTAAAGCAAATTTATATAATTTCATAGTTTAAATCCTGAACTAACGCGAGATACTTTTATATTGATATTTGTGAAGGGTAAAGGTTCGGAAGGTGATAGTAGTTACTGTTCAGTAATTATTTCAAATTATATAAATAGTTTCACTTAGTATTATTTCCTGAAATAAAAAAATCATAATATGCCGATATATTTTTACTGCGCGGCAGTTCGTGCTGTTCTACTTGACGGCTGCAAAATGTGGCCATTAAGAGTAGAAGATACTCGTATTTGATCACCGATATCTTGGAAATATCGCTCGCACCTATTGGGATCACCGGGTAAGTAATAATGAGATTAGATGCAGAGTATAAGGAAATGATGGTAAATCATTTGATGAAGTTGTGAATCTTCATCGACTAGGATGGTTGGGCCGCGTGTTACGTATGCCTGAACACTGATTACCACGACGCGCAATGCTGACTAGATTTGGGGATGGCTGGAAGAAAGTTGGGGGCGGCCAAAAACAAAACGTGGCATCAGTGGTTGAAGTCACTAACTTCTAGTCTTAGCCATGCTGGTAGATACAGACTAATTGGTTAGGGTCTGCATGACTATCGTGACCAATGATTGGAGACTCTGGTTGATATCGCCCAGAATCGATCACAATAGCATCGGGGTATACACTCTTTGTCTCCCCTTAAACTGTGAGATTAAAATTGCATTATATCTTTTTTCTACCACCTAATTCTTTCCTCCTGTACTACATCCTCATAGGCAATCTTTCTTTTGTATATTACCACCAATAAATTAACTACTTCTATGAATCCGGTATTCATCTTGTTATGCTAATGAGGAATGGCAACTTGAACCGATGCATATATGTGCCTGGTACTACATTGTAGCTGACTGACTGATTGATATATTTCAAAAAATAATAATTTTTACGGTTTATAAAAATTGTTTATTTTATTTTACTACTCAACAATTTATTGATTTTCACCAAAACAATTTAATCTTATTTCATCAATTTAAGACCATCATTATCATCATCATTGTATAATTAGTGTTGACAAAGCTAACGATTATTACCTGGTAATGATTGTATTAAATGAATAAACTATTTCACAACCTGATGCAAATTTTAATTAAGTGATAAATTCAAATGTTATTTATAATTATGGTTCATTATTAATTTGATGCGGGTAATAAATGAGAAATTATAATTTAAGTTCGATAACATTTATGGTAGGTAAAAACGGATGGTTTAATAATGAAAAGAATATGTGTATATTATGCAATAATCGATGATGATGGTCAAATTTTTCTTTAAAGAAAAAAGTAACTAGTAAATTAAATTAGTGTTTTTTTATTTCACATAATCATATACCCTAATCAGTTGATAAGTATTAATATACCGAAACAAAGAAGTAAACAATGACAAGTTTAGGGTCAACAAAAACCAATCAACATCGAGGTGTACAAGACAGGTTGTGAACCACATATGGCGAAATTCGAACACTTCATTTCTACCTGAAATTTGTGTTGATGTCGTTCAGAAGAACGATGAAAGCTACAAATCTTCCCTACCATCTGATTAGTATACTTCATTTAGTATTAAAAAGAAACTTTTCTTATTGCCAATGGCCGAAACTATATTATATCAGTATTGCCATCACTTTTTCATCATGATATTATAATTTCAATGAAAGAATAAAATGAACTAGAGAGACATTACTCGTTGAACTTGTGCCTGCAAAGGATTTTTTACGTGTTTACTACTTGACATATAAGAAATAAAAATTAAAACCTATCGTAATCAATGAGGCTATCATGACTGAAAATCTAAAAAACTTCATGAGTCTTTTCATGATTGGGGCAGTAACTATATGGAATAAAGTACAACTACAGTTACAAAAAGTCCTTGATTTAATGAAAAACAATAAGAATATACACTGATGAATGGTTTAAACTCACGAAGCGTTATAAATACCAAATAAATAAATGAGTAATTGTATATCGTTCAGACAAAAAGCAAATCATAGTTATAAGGTACTTACTTGCATATATGTTCTGAAATAAAAAAATGTTACTGTAACGTACATTTATCTGCAAACCAGTAGTTTCGTCGTAAACCGAGAAAACAGTTAAATAACGCCCAAACAACTTGACAATTTAAACGAGAAGTATATATTATTTAAAAAAGATAAACTATTCAAACTCACTCATTAGTTGGTCATTTATTATCATTGCCTGGGACCTATTTTTACAAGCACTATATTCCACTAATGTGATTGAAAATACTTAAGACATCGGTGGATTACACAATAAATTCCTTATATCATCAAAATACTATTATTTAACTATGAGAGAGTGGGGAACACAAACCAAAGAACCTTATGTATCAATAACATTGATATTGTCCAAACGATGGTACTCCTCAAAGTTACATAATTTACTTGCTTTTATTCAATGATAGTGATGTTTTGCCCTAGTATTGGATCACATCACATTTGCAACTAATTAATTATAATTAGCAACTTATAGTAAGGTATCATTACAAGTTTGCTAATTCAGGAATTAACCCGATTAAATGATTTACCATATGTATAGAATTGGACTATTTCACACTTCATTCATTAAAAGTTGCTAGCAGTTTACAGTAATTAAATATTTCTATTATTCCAATTGAAAGATTGTATCATAGTGAAAAAATCGCCTTAAAACTATCATATGGTATAATAAGTTAACCGTTTTTTCTAAATGCAATATTCAAGTTCCTATTAATGTGTCCATAAAAATTATAAAGAAGTCAATGTGAACGTTGAGAAACATAATTTCATAAAAGTGGTATTAGTAATCTTGATGAAAATGATAAACATATTGTATATATCTGTCAATTTCAAGAGGTATTTCCTGGAGTTCTAGTGAGAAGCAGTGATCAGTGGAGTTCAATCAGGTCTGTTGTGAGGTATCAGCTCACTGAAGACAATGGTGAACCGTGGCGCAATTTCGTGGATTGGTTGAAGTTAGATATTAACGCCGTTGGATGCCGGCTCAGTGATCTAATGGTTAAGCGCTCGCTTGAGAGACTGATAGGTCCCTGGTTCGAGTCCAGCGGGGGTCGGGATCGTGGGTCCGCGCTGCTGAGTTCCATAGTAGGACGAGATGGTCTATCAGTGCTTCCAGGTTTTCTATGGTGGTTTAGCTTCAACTGACTCATGATCTTAACCATTGAAATAAACTTATTACTCGATCTATACATCTAAATGACCACTTATCATTTCTGTTTTACAACAATCATGATATAATTTAACCATACGTTTTAAATAATATATCTTAATATTTTAAGTAAAATTAAGTGTTCTTTGATTAAAATCTCTTCATCAACAACTACTTATTTTAAAACTTCAGCTTTTCTATATTCACTTTGAATATATTTTAAACAGTATCCGTTGTGATTCCTTTTCTTTCTATTTAGTTCCCGTCTAACCTCAAACAGCCATGAATATGTTATATAATCTTGAGGGGACTGATTGTCCCTGGTGGATTCGAATCAGTGTCACCCAGCTTCATAGTCAGAAGCGTTACCACCGGGCTATCCGGGATATCAGCATCAGTACCCTCAAGATTATAGGTACACCTTGCTGACAAGTGCCGTGTAACACGAAACCTAGGTTTAAAGTTCCCTGTTGACTACCTCCAACCACCATCTTATCTCGATTGAATAAGTAAAAATATATCAGCGAATTGATTTTGAATCCTGACTAAATTATAGTTTACTCTGGAAAGTAATTATCTGTTAATTTTATGAGAATCCGATGAATAATAAAGAAAGATTGAATCATAGATCAGTACAAATGCGAGAAAACAAGTCATATATCAATACATTTTCCAAACAATAAATTACACAGTGATTAAACTGTCTTATAATGAAATATATAAAAGGAAATAGAATAATCAATGGGGATCAACCATATAACAAGAAACCGAATGATTTAAAAAATGCTTAACAATATAACTAAGTCATGTAAATATTACTGATAAAAGCTGTTTGATGCTAAACATTTTTCTTTCTTTAAAAACCTTTAAATGACATATATCAATAAATCAGACAAATTTTAACCATACGTTTAGGCTTAATTATTTACTAACTGTTAAAAATATCTTATTTACAATGTACATCGTAATGTTTATTACCATTCTATCATTGTTCAACAGTTATCAATAATCTATGGGTTAAAAACAGCAGTCTAAAATAAAACAAAAGCAGCACATCATTAACTAAGATAAAAAGAATTATTATGATCTTGAAAAAAACATACTTTACAAGTGTTAGTCATATATCTAAGAAGCATGAATTTTTGAAAGATTGAATGATTAAAATATAATCTTTTAAAATTTATTTTTTACTACTTTTAATAATTTCAAGTAGTGATTAAGGAAATCCTAAAGAAATCAGTAGCATAAATAATAAATTCTTCGGTTGAGAACATGATTCAATTGAAGCTAAATCACCATGGAAAAACTGGAAGAATTGAATGGCCGTTTCGTCGTATTGTGAGACTCCTCGGCAGTATTTCCAGGTTTTCCATGATCTAGTTTCAATTAACTTATGATTTCAACCATTGAAATTACTATAATATCCACAAAAACCCTTCTGATAATAAATTCTTTATGTTCTCCGTGTTGTATGTGAGAATCTTGCTTTTCTCCTTGTATATGTTGAGGCCCAGTGACACAAAAGCTTCTGCTATCATCGTAAAGCTCATAAAATATTATTAAAAAATCTACTGTCAATAAATTCATAACGACCTATCTTCATAATGTATACAATATAAGTGTGGAGATATGGTTCCGTTATATCTGAGTTGTATTAAAATATCAGTCCTACAGTATTTAACTCAGTTACAATATCTGCGACTGAGGAACTACTTGACGTGGTTTTAAATCTCTGGAAAGGCCATTGTGTTACTAAAGGATTCCAATATGAAACTTAATCAGAATGAAAAGATATCAGAGGCTTCTTGTCGACTGCTTTCAACCATTTAGCACGAAATATTTATTAGTTAGATGGATAAAGTACTTGCGTAGTTGACAGTTACGTTTATTTATTTTTATTACATTATTTAAAAACTATCAATACCATATGTAACATGAAATTATTGCTTGTCATTTACACTATGTCTTAGCTTTTGGTGAGACTATAATTTGTGGTCGAACTAATCACATATAAGATAACTGGTCTCGGATTTTTGTGCGGAATTCACTCATCCATTCGGATAAATAGAGTTTTGGCATTATAGCTGGTGTCACTTCGTGATAAAAAAACTGAAATCTAATTCATGACCTTAACCATCAACTGTAAATTATGATTCTAATTCCTCGCATATTTTTATAACCCTTATTTAGTCCTAATCAGTAGGTGCTCACTTTCAAGGTCACTTCAGCGTCGTTCAAAGGTTGTCCATAAATTATAGTCTCATCATTAACTTATTAATAACAAACCATCCAATGCTCAGTTTATTTGAAATTATCAAGTCAAACCTTGGTAATGATTAATCAATGTTGTTTGCAGACTAATAATAAAGTTTAATACTTTGCTGAATTTAATTCTCCTAACAATTAGTAAAAGTTACATGTTTGAAAAAACAAATATTTTAAAGACATAATTATTTACCCTTTTAGTAAATAGCTTAGCTTATTAAATTCATGTAAATTCACTATCGCAAACAAAGTTGAGATTATAATTTATGGACGACCTTTTGAGCGATTCTAGACTGACCTTGAGAGTGTCCACCTAATAACTAGGACCAAATGGAAGTTGTAACTTAGTGTGGGGAATAAGAATTATGATTTACAGTTGATAATTAAGATTAGGAAATAGATTTAGGATTTTCATAACGAACTGATATCAGCCATAATACCAAAACTATATTTATCCGAATGAGTGAATCTGGTACCAAAATCCGAGACCTGATATCTTATACATGATTAATTCGTCCATAAATTATAATTTCTCCAAAATAAGTTTTATTATTAAATTAAAATAATTCATACATTCAACTTTAATTATTCAACAATAAAATTCATAAGTCAATTAAAATTAGAACATCCTAAAAAAAAAACTTGGAAACATTAAATAACCATTTTGATCGTAGTATGAAACTCTTCAGGATGAAACAACCCTTTAGTATTTTCACATTTTTCATAATAGTCTAGCTTCAATGAATTTATGAATTCAATTATTATATTAATACAATCCCTTTATAATTTATTATTTATTCAATAAATAAATTTTTTTTCATTAATATCAAGATATAGAACGTTATACAAAACTACTTGAAAAATATCCAGATTTAAAAAAATACAGTATTTTAATAGAACGTCATATTCAAGGAATGACCAATATTCGTTCAACAAATCATTTAAAAGAAATATACAATATTACAAAAAATATTAATAATAAAGAAATTTTATTTGATAATTTAATTGAATATACAGAAATCAATAAATCAATTCATATAAAACAATTGATACCTAATCCAAAATCAATTCAAAAATGTTTACATTTTATTAATACATTAGAAAAATATATTAATAAAGAACATATAATTAAATTAACTATACCTATACATATTATAAATTATTTTACTGATTTATCATCTAAAGTAACAGATATTTATAGTAAATTAGATACAGAAAAATTATTATTAACAAAAGTACGTTTAGAAATGAAACAATTAAATAAATTAAATTCTAATAATAAATCTTTAACATTCAATGATATGACATGGATTAATTATTTAGTATTATTTATTAATCAATTAATTAAATTATTTAAAAAATGTATTACAAATTTATTTAATGAATTAAATATTAAACAACAATTACAATTAAGTAATGAAATTGAAGCAGAAACTCATTATAATTTATTAATGTATTCAATGGAAGAATTAAATGTTCAATTAAATTATCATAAATATATTATAGAAAATATTGATGAAAATAATTGTAATATAAATGAAAATTATTATAATTGGATTAATAAATTAATGTATAAAACACGTAGTCGTGAAATAAATATTATAAAAAATTATTTAATAGGTAATTCAAAATTACCAGGATTAATTTATGGACCATCAGGTTCTGGAAAAACAAGTTTATTACGATGGACAGTGAATTATTTTATGGTTAGTTATTAAATGATTGTAACATTTTGATATTAATGTAATTTTGTTGTTGTTGTTTTTGTTTTTGTTGAATGTATCACTGAATTGAGTGGATTAGTTGAAATCAAAACATTAACATGATTGAATGTCAGATTAGTGGTCTAGAGGTTAAGTGTTAACACATGAGACCGATAGATCATAGGTTCAAGTGTCATAAAGCAGGATCAAGGGTGTACACTGCTGAGGAGTTCTATAATAGGATGAAATTGCCATTCAGTGCATCCAAGTTTTTTCATGGTAGTCTAGCTTCAATTGACTCATGATCTCAACTATCAAAAGTAATCTTTTTACTTTAAACCTAGAATAATTAATAGTCATTATTAGACATTTAAACAATATATACATTTAATCCATTTTTAAAATAATATCGATTGCTGTTCAGATGTTTTGGTAGTACAATTTTTGATCAGTATATTAAAAGGAATAGATTTATTTATTGGAAGATAATTTTCTCCCTAAAAGCCTACTTTATATAACCACTAGTAGAGTATGTAATATAATTAGCAGACTTTTAGACAATATAAGGAAAATAAATGCAGTAAAAGAACGTTGATTCATCTCATTTCATAGTTGTTCATCAGTCACTTACTACCTAAATATAATAGTATTAATCAATAAAGATCCGTTTACATACCTGATATCATAATATTGAAAATGTTCTTATCAATGAAGACTAATACAACGGGAATAAATATGGAACAATTATGAAAGATGTTGAAGTGACAATTCAATATTTATATGTCAAATAATATGAAAACTCTTGAAAAAAAGCTCTACAAAGCATATATAGACAAATTACTGAAAAAGATCAATATTAAAAGTTACGTGACGAAAACAATAATAGACTGATTCTAAGCTTGAATGGAGTGAAGCTCAGATAAAAATCAACCAGGTATGAAAAAAAATTAATCATTTAGTTATGAATGTAAAGCTATTAGGAGATAACACTTTGGAAGCACAGGTCAACAGGGAAAGATGCGAGTAACAACAGTATCTTTTTGAGTGCAAAAACTGGTTTATGCCTTCTGATAAAGTTGGCTTCGGCAAAACGTAGTAAGTCAGAAAATGTTTTAAACAAGCCTGAAATCTTAATGTCATGCCCACTATCAAATAATGAGAGATTAAACTATTGAAGATAAGTTGGTGAAACTATAATAACCTTGAGAATGTCCACCTACTAACTAGGGCTAAATGAGGGTTTTAAACCAGTTTAAAGGACAAGGATCGTGATTTACAGTTGATGGTTATGGATAGGGATTAGATTTAGGGTTTTCATCAAGAACTAACATTAGCTATAATCTTAAAACGCTATTTAGCTGAATGGAACAATGAGTTTCGTGCCGAAATCCAAAACCTGTTATCTTAAATCTGATTGATTTGTCCATCACTTATAGTATCACCGATAAGCTGTTCTCTTAGTCTCAACTTGTTTCATACATATTTATTTTGTATTAATCTTAATCGATGAGAACATTTCCGATATTATAATATGAACTATATACACGAATTGTTATTAATTAATACTATTGTTTTCAAGTTATAAGTAACTGATGAGGAATTACAAAATTTTAATTCGCTACAATGATTTTCGTGCTCTAATCAAATTTATTAGTAGGGAAATTTGTATGAAATAACAAACTTCCGTTGACTGATTTTAATAAGTTAAGTTTTCCATGGTGGTTTAGAGTTAATTGACTCATGAATTCAACTACTAAAGTACTATAATATCCACAAAATCCCTCTCTGATTACAATTATCATATACTCACTAGTGATGGTCTATAAGAGGTATTTTCATGGAGTTCTAGTAAGAAGCAATGACTAGTGGAGTTCAACCGGATCTGTTGTGAGATAACAACTCACTGAAGAAAATGGTGGACGGTAGAGCAATTCTGTGGATTAGTTGAAGTTAAACATTAACATTGTTGGATGCTAGCTCAGTGGTCTAGAGGTAAAGCGTTCAGGCAAGACCGACATAGCCTGTGTTTGAATCCCGCTAGGAGAGATCTTGGATGCGCAATAGAACGAAACGGCCCTCCAGTGCTTCCAGGTTTCCTATAGTGCTCTAGCTTCAAATAACTCATGAATTCAACTATAAAACTACTAAAATCTCTATAAAATCCCTTCTGATACAAATTAATTATCTAATATCTATCCAAACTCACTTTGTATATTAAACAACTTTACATTCTTTTCAATCTAATTATAATATTAGTTAAACTTGGTATAACATTTTATCGATTAAGAAATTAAGATAGAATTATTTCAGTTTAAATGAAGTTCATTCATTTAAACTGTTTCCAATACATGATTTGTTTTTTATTCAAATATTTAACGATTTAGAGGAGGTAATTAAAAATAATAATAAAACCTGAAAGTTATTTGTATCTACCCAGAACTGATAGAAAAAACTGTATGTGAAATTTAGAAAGGAATACTTTGTTTTTCTTATGATATTTTAAACTTATTTTTATCTACTTTGCTATAAATACCTTTGATAATACATATTGACTTATCAATGTTCATCCATTTAAAAACAAACTTTTGATTTAATCAAAGATGGATATTGGCTAATACTGGAATCCAGGACGCGCGTTTCGTTCTACTTCGGATTCGTCAGTTGGATGTACCTGCATCACAGAGTTAATGTTGACTCCGGGATTCGAACCCAGTACTGTTCGCTTCAAACAACAAGTGAATTTTGATTTAATGTTTTGTAAAATGAATTATTGATACACAAGAAATGTGAAAGCATCGTATTAATTAAAGCTTTTGAGTCTTATGTTAATAAATGGTCACTAGTAATTAGATTTTTACAGTCCTATAAAAAGCGTTGAATACTACTTATCTGCTTGCAGCTCATTCAAATTTTCTTATATATAACTACGTTGAATGACTAATTGATTTACTGAGTAAATTAGATAAGTTATAAAATATGTGAAGATTCTTACACTGAACCAAGTTTGAACATAGGAAAGTAATAATAAACAGTTTGGACATTCACCTATCCTAACGCACCAGTCATTTATCCATGTTCGGATTAATCAGTATCCAAATAAATACATATCAGCCATAAGTATTATTTAGTTGGCATTGATCAATTCAAATTCCTACACAATCATGTCTTCCTCATTTGTCCATTCAGGTTTATTTGTAGTAAGACCATTGAACTATTGTAGCATTTATCTGCTCACTGTAATTTAGATACTCAATCCACTATGTAAATTTCTGTGTGAGTATGGAGGGCACATGTCTGCACATCAATTTTTAATCTATTCTCTCAATGGTTGTAATGCACAGATAATCAATAATTTATCCATACTTGATTAACACTGTATATATATATGTATTTAACACACACACAACCCTCTTGGTTTTCTTGTGTGCTTGCTTTCTGTATGCTTTCGGATTTTACCAATCTTTAACAATAAACTGTCTCTATAACTGGTGTTCAGGTTTTTGAATAATCTCTAGTAAATCTGTAATTCTACTAATAGATTTAGCCTGTATTTAACGGGATACTATTTATTGGAGTCAGATATAGAGGATACTAGCTTCTATATATCAATGGTAAGACCATATATAATAATTAGACGAAATTGAAGATTAGAAAACCAATCACTATAAGATTAGGCATTTATCAAAAATTCAATAGGTGAGGTTTTACATTAAAATTTCTCATCCTTATAATAACAATTTTTTCAAGACGTATTAAATCGTACTAATATCATCAAAATGATAGAAACAAAGATAATCAAAGATTCATGTCTCTGATAAAGTTAAAAACGACTAATTACTTTCTCTGTACAACTGATTTATTTTTAATTTTTGTACAGATACCATTTCCTTTGTTCTCTCATAAGTCAAAGGAACGAATGTAACTTTTTAATTCGACAAACTAAATATCTCGTTATTTTAAGGAACTATACTTTTAATAACGCTACAAGCTGATAAACAACATATATATAATACAAAATATAAGAGATATTAATATAATGTGTAACAGCTTATTGTATGACATTCAAACTAGTACTGTAGTGAACGAGAACACAAATGGGGATAATCCAATATATTTGAACACAAAATTACAGAACATTTTAGTAAAATCTGAAAAACACACAGTAAATACTTTGCGACAGTGGAGATTTTTAGCTCAAGTGGATCATTTTGATGAAGTTTTGTTCACGACCAAACCATCCAGTTCAGAGAATAAAACTCCATCAAAGTAAATAATTCATTTGAGAAATGTCATTCAATTAACTCAACTTTGACAGTTCCTTTTACCAAATATCAGCCAATCGTCTCAAACTTCATTATTTCTGCATTACCAAACCAATTACTTTTTGTTCCCTTTCTTTTCTCCTCGATCTTTTTGAACTTCTGCTGTCAAACATTCTATTTCTTAATAACATTATATACTACTTATGTCAATATAAGTAGCACAAAACACAATACTATAATTTTGTTTTTCAAATTTTCATTTTATAGCATATTCATTCAAAATCTGAAATAAACAATCAATTAATATCAACTACAAATCAATTATCAACTAATTTAACTATATCACAATCTCAAATAGAACCAATTATAATTATATGTTGTATTGGTCGTACATATTTATCAACATCATTACAATCTGTATTATTACAAATTATTGAACAATTAATAATGAAATTTAATATAAATTATTATAATATTAAATCATTATGTGAATATGCAGAAATTGTACGTTTATTAAATAGAATATTAAATTTAGCTAATCCATTAAAACCAATATTAATATTAATTGATAATATAGAATTATTATATCCAGATGAACATGTACAAATGTTTCAATGGTTATCATATGAATTACCTAATCCATATATACGTTTATTAATAACAACAAATTCAGATAAAATTGTAAAAAATTTTACAAAACGTTTTGGTCAAGGTTGTTGTATTAATTTATCATCATGTTATCAATTTAATGATATAATCAATAATATTTTACCAAAATTAATTGAAAAAAATTTTAATAAAAAAAATATATTGATTCATGAAAAAATCAATAACCAATTAATAAATTTAAATATAGATAATGATAATAATAATAATATAACATTAAATTATATTCAATTATTAGCTGATATATTAACTATTCAATTAAGTGGTAAAATTAATTTTAATTTACCTGATATATTACCTAATAATTTAATTGATTTATTTATATTACGTTTAAAACAAATTTATTATATAATAAAACAAGAAGGAATATTACATTTAGCATTATTACGTTTTATGCCATATATAGCATGTTCACGTTATGGTTTAACATTAAATGAATTAATTGAATTATTACAAAATGATATTAATATAATACAAGCAAGAAAACAATTTAATCAAATTTATATATCATTAAAATATTTTCCTATTGGTTGTTTATTAAATTTATTATATTCATCAATCTATGGTATAAATAAATATTTAATGTTTATTAAAACAGATAATCGTTTATTAATAACATTTATTAATGAATCATATCGTAAAGGTGTATTATTATTTTGGAGTTCATATATAGATAATAATAATAATAATAATAATAATAATAATGATCATCTTTCGAACAATGATAATAATAATATTGATTTAAATGATAAACAAAATGATATTTCATCGAATGAATTTATATTTCATCGTTATATAACAGATTATTGGTTAGGTTTAAATAATGGACAAGATGATTATGAACAACAAACAAAACAAATTGGACATTCATATGAAGTAAAAACAAATAATAATAATGATAATAATAATAATATAGAATATAATGAAGATTTATTTAATACAATGTATTATTGGTTAGCTATGGATAAATCAATAAAAATGAATTCTAATGAAGTTATTATAGGAACATATGATAAGCATTATATATGTAATGCACGTCGTCTTACAGAATTACCATATCAATTATTAAAATTAGGTTCAGATAATATAAAAGATCTTTTAAATTATGTTATATTTTCATTTGATTATATATTTGGTAAATTATTATTAGGTTTAAGACCAAATGATATTATAACAGAATTTTATTATTTAAGACAATTAAATCAATTAAGAACAAATAATGAAATTATGTATTTATTAAATTTATTAAGAAATTTATCAATTAAATTATCATTAATACCAACAATATTAAATGTTGAATTAGCTGGACGAATTGGACATTTAATTAATACAGAATATATAATGTTAGGTCGTCAATTATTAAATAGTATTGATTGTAATTCAAATAAAGTTAATTGTTTATTACCATTATTATCTATATGTTATAATTTACCATTACAACCGGATTTATTAAATGTTAAATATAAATATAATGAAATAGGATTATATTCATTAAATAATAATATAAATAAACAACAAATAAATGAAATTATAACAATTTCATCAGATTTAAGATTTTTATTTACATTAACAATAAATCAATTAAATCAATTTAATAATCAATTATTTATAAATAATAATGAAGTAATTATTAATTTATGGGAAGTGAATTCATTAACTAAATCATGTTCATTTAGTCTTGGTGAATGGACTAATTATATATTTCATCAAGCATATATGCCAATACATCAAAATCAATTAGTACTTTTAACATATTCAATAAATGAATTCAATAATAAAAAATTTGGTATTTTATCAATTAATTTAGAATTAGGTTGTATTGAAGGTAATCTATTTGTTACATATCCAATACAATTAAAAATTTTATGTATTACACGATCAAGTATATTAATAAAACAATATATACCAAAAGAATATCATGAAAATTATTCATTAAATGAAGATTATGCAACAGTTTATTCTATACCAAATTTAAAATTAATCAATAGTATATTATCTAAAGTTCCATTACCATTTTATTTATTACCAAATGATCGAATATATTTTGGACCTTCAAGATGGCCAATTCAAATGAAAACTAGTATAGAGAAAAAAAGAAAACAACAAATTAGTCAAAATGAATTGAAAAAAATTAATAATAATTCTGTTCAAGTTCGATTAAAAAATGCATTAAATGATGTGATAGCATGGATAAAATGTCCTTTAGCACCTGCTATATTTCAAGCAAATATTAGAGGAGAAAATTTACTTATTGGATGTAAAAGTTTAGGTCAAATATATCGATTTGATTTAACTTTAGTAAGTGTTTTTACTAAGATTTTGGTATTACTTTTTTTGATGTATATGTTTAACAGATAGTGAAGAAACTCCAAGTGAAGAAAATAATCAAATTATACTTAAACTTTTTAAAACAGAAATATAATTAACTAAGCGATTAAAAGGAATTTTTACACTTCAACCTGTGAGATTTTAAGTTTCTAGATTTGGCATGGTTTAACAGTTTCAAATAGTAATCGCTATGAAATTTTGCATATACTATGTAATTAAGATCAGACATACATATATATGAACTAAAGACTTTTGGGAAGCATTTGTCACCATCTTTATATAAAGCAATGGATCAAACAATAACTGTAGTGAGTTGCCTTCAGTAGTGGAATTTTGGCTTTTTGAGAAGTTAACAAACAAATTACTAGGAAAAAACCTTAAAACCAAAGCTGGTAGTATCATCCTATGCTTTTTTCTGTTTAATAAATAAACTATAAAATTATATATGTGTATGACATCTCCTAGCCTTACTATCAATAGTTTAAACAATATGCTATATGTCTTTCGAATCTCATTCAAAACAACAAATTGGATACAGTTTATGTCCATTTTTATTCTATATCAAAAATGAAATTTGTAACAAAACCAGAATACCAGAAGGGGTATTCGTGGATATTATAGTAATTTCATTAGTTGAGATCATGAGTCAATTGGAGCTAGAACACCATGGAAAACCTGGAATCACCGTATGGCCGTCTCGTCCCATTGTGGGACTCATCCGTGCGCATCCACGATCCTGCCTCGCGAGATTTGAACCCGTGACCTATTGGTCTTGCGGGCAAACGCTTAACCTTTAGACCACTGAGTCAGTGTCCAATGGTGTTAATGTCTAACTTCAACATAGTTGAATAACTGATTGATAGAACCTATTCTGATATGAATCAACATATGCTCACTAGTGACTTGCTTTAAGAGTTATTTCCTGCAGTTCTAGTGAGAAGCAATGATCAGTAGAGTTCAACCGATTCTGTTGTGAGATAGTAATTCACTGAAGACAATGGTGGCGCATTTTCGTGGACTATTCAAAGTTAGACATTAGTATCGTTGGATGCCGGCTCAGTGATCTAGAGGTTAAGCGTTCGCGCCTAAGACTGATAGGTCCTGGGTTCGAATCCGGCGGGGCGAGATCGTGGATGGGCACTGATGAGTCCCACGATGGGACGAGGCGGTCATCCTGTGATTCCAGGTTTTCCATGATAATCTAGCTTCAATTAACTCATGATCTCAACTAATGAAAATCAAAATACTCAAAACTGTAGAGCAAAACATAAAAGGTGCAAAAATTTTTGAAGCTTTTATTTATAATCAAATGCATGAATATAATAATCATAATCGCTTTCAGACAGTGTGTAATTGTCAAGTGAATAGAAAATGCTTTCGGATGAGATTTTCTTTGGTTAATTTCTAAACTCAATTATATTAATAACAAAATAATTCTTCTTTAATACAAGAAGTTTCCTCCTCGGAAATTATTAGGTTTCATGATAAACAGTTAACAAGCAGTCATCATATTAGTTATGTCCTAAAATAAAGTTCAATTACTTTACAAATTTCATTTTTAAAAGTTGACTTAAAATATAAAAAAAGTTCACAATATCCTCTGAGTTTGTTTTATAACTTTTTAATTTATCACTTTTTTATACTAAATCTAACCCTTAAATTGTTTAACTAAACAGAATTTTTCAAATTTTTCTTTGTTGAAAAATAAACAACATCTTACCCCTTAGATATCAAACAAAGAAATTCGTACTATTAAGCCAAACTTAGAGCTAAACTTGTACAAGAATATAAAAAATATACAAATTAAATCATTATCAGAAGTATCAATAGAAAATAAAAATAATATACCATTCTTATGGGATTTAGAAACAATGAATATACTTGATCAAGCACGTCATCAAGTGAGTGTAAAAAAATTATGGATATCACCAGATGAAAAATATTTAGCTGCATTATATAATATTAATGATTATCGTTTAATAATTGGTATATGGCAAATAAATTCAAGATTATTAATTGCTGGTCTACAAGGATATCATAAAAGTCAAATAAGATTTGGTAGTGATAGTATTAGTTCATATTTAATACATTTTATTAAATCATCTATTCATAAAACATGGATTGAATTAATTGAATTAAATGCTGTTCAACCAACACAAATAACATCTAATATAACTATGAATAGACCAATAACTAATACTAATAAATCTAGTACAAATGTACTTGTAAAAATACATAGAATAGATACATTTAAAACTGCTATAGATGAAGCATATTTTATTCGAGGAGGTAGTTTAATAGTTGTAACAAATGGAAGTATTATTTCAACAAGTATAAATGTACTTATATTAGGCTCAAAAAATCAAGGACCTATGGCATTAACACCAATTGGTAAAAAATTATCTACAGTTAATTATCATTCTGAATTGGATATTGTTTATTCAACTGAAATTGGTAATCAACAACTATTCTCTTATTATAATCTTCTAACACAAAAAGTTATTTCAGTTGAATGTACTAAACCACATTTACAGGATGCTTTTATGAATAATTTTGAAACAGACTTTTTAATGACACCAATATTAGAAGATACACCATGTGAACGTCATTTAAGTTCAGATGGGAAGAGATTAGCATTGGTTTATCGTGTTAAAAGTATAAATAATGATTATAAAGTTGATAATTCAGAAGAAAAAAACTATACAGAATTGAACAATGAAAAAAAAGAATATAGGAAACCAAAACTTCCAAATATAAATTACTACACATCTTTACAAGAAAAGAATAATGATTCATCAGGTATGGGATATGATCAAACAGTGATTCGTCTATATGATTTAGACAATAAAATTGGTGGCACTGGATTACGATGTCAAATATCTATTATTGGAGAATTTATATTTCACATGTCAACAAAGTATGGTATATACACTTTGAAACCAGATCATGCTAGTAGTACAAAATTGTCTAGTTTGACAGATCTACATAAAAATTATTCAACAAAAGATATTCAAAATAAAAATTCAGTGAATAAAATTGATGAGAAACCTCAAGCTCTACTATCACGTTATGGGTCTACAGATGGACGATTTTTAGGATATTCATTTTTACAACATCCAGTTATCAAAGGTACACAGATTATATTCAATGATCGATATTTAATATTATGTTGTGGAGAATATGGACAATGGATCCGAATGCTAGAAGCACCAGACTTTAAAAAATTAGTATATGAGGTAAATTTACACAAATTATTGAAAGAGCGTGATGATTTTTGTCGTACACCTAGTGTTCAACGTTTATTTACATGTGAAGCACAACCTACTAAAGTCATTATACAATATGTATGGTTAGAACAAGAGAATTCAACTTTTAACATAACAGTGTTAGATTTAAAAAACAAACAAAATAATGACTTAATTATTAGTCAAATGTCAATTGTAGATAAAATAATCGATGTTTCTTCAGATGGTGCTTATGGTATAGATGCTAACTTAAGATTAATTAATTTTCAAAATGGAAGTATATTGGCTTTATTGAATTCACCGAATTTAATACCCGGTACACAAAATGATCCTATAGTATTATGTGCCCAATTTACACCAGATAAATTATACATTGTAAGTGTTATATACTCAATGGAATATCATAATGCATGGCTTGCTATAATACACAATAATCAAGTTCATAACAACTACCCAGTTATCGGTAGAGCATTGTTGACACCAATTGATGAAGTTAAACCTAATTCAATAGAATCATCAGAATTACCATCAATCAAGATTCAATTAGGTTATAATGGTCGATTAATTGTTGTCAAGTTAGATACTTTTAAAGAATTTAAAATATTCACTATAAGAAAACAAACAAAATATCCAAATATAATTCATTCAACTGCAAATGATCGAATGAAACATTTATTACCAATAAATGTGACTACAGTTGATGAAAATAATTCATGGTCAAATAAACAAAAAAGAGCAAAATATTTAGATGAATTATTTACACGTTTTGCAGAATCATTATCGATCAATAATACAATAATTGGAACTAATATTGATTATAATGATGATTTTATTAATGATGATAATAATGAAAATGATCATAATGAAGAATTAATTGATTTTAGTAAATTGGGTTTGGATTTCAACTTTAATAATAATATGTTTGATCAAGTTTATAATAAAGTAGATAATATATCTATATAATGGATACTATTAACTGATGAAAAGAATGTAATTGTGTATAAGTTTTTTTAAGGATTCAGTTATATAGTAAAATATATGTACACCTTATATCTTAATATATGAAGTCCTACTGGCAAGAAGATGACGCCTGATGTGTTTTATAATTTATATTGTGAAATTCTTTGTTTGTTCACACGTTTAATCTAAATTTTATAATTAAAATCAATAAAACGAAATTTCGCCTGTATTTGAATAAAACTGTGTAGCAAAAGTGATTTTGCATAAACACAACTTTTTTGAAAAAAAAATGCATATCTTTTGATTTCATTTTTGTACAATAGGTAACTGTACAATGTAAACTATAGTTTATGCTAGTAAGTGACAAAAATAGCAGTATAAAGACAATATTTACATAGTTGAAATCATGAATCAATTGAAGCTAAACCACCATGGAAAACCTGGAAGCACTGGACGGCCGTTTCATCCTAGTATGGGACTCCTCAGCAGTGCGCTCGCGCGCGAGACTGATAGGTCCTGAGTTCGGGTCCCGCGGAGGGATCGTGGATATATATATATATATATATATATCATTCTGTAGTTCAAGTTATGATGCTCTGTAATCAAGTTAACTTCTAATATACTGTAAATAAAGTAATTCTGTTAACAGTAACCATTTTATCTAAGCCTTGATAACTTAATAGGTCTTTGTAACTTTAATCCACTTTGACGGAAACACTAGATTAGATTAAAACAATGAAATTATAGCTTAAGAATAAGCTTCATTTTATCAAATCAATATAGAAACTAACATTTAACACTGACTACACAATTTTATAATTTAATTAGATAGGTCAGTGTAAACGGATACTTCATCCTTCGGTGCACATAATACATACTGTATATTCATCCAGAGATAGTATTATAAAATTTAAACTCACTGCTTTTAGCGGATAGCTGGAAATTTATAATAATATAAGTAACCAGCATTTTGATGAGTTTCTACATGTCATTATTATTTTAATGATCTAGTTCTGGGTAGAAAATATAACTATTTTATAGTAATATTCTCAGTTGTCTATTAACTGCTACTAAAACTTTGCAGCTATGAATAATTGATCAACCTAAGACATCGATTCATAATGAATGTCATTATTAAGTACGTAGTCGTTCAAATATTGTTAACTGGTATCTTATAGACGAAGTAAATTGTGACCAGAGGTAGAACAGTGGACTGACTTTTCGTCCTGCCTAGTACTCGTCGGTTTGATTTACCTTCATTCCTGGTTGGTGTTTAGACTAAATTCTGAACTGAGTAACTTTCAGTGCAAATCCTGAAAGTATTATCCACTGAGATGTTGAGTCCAAAGAGTTACTTACCTGTATAATGAGTCCAAATTTAAATTCAATTAAGCTTAATAACAACTGAATAATTCAAATCCTCTCTCTAAATGATATAAATATTGTACCCATTAAATGAGTATGTGACTCTCTGAACTCAGTAATTCAATAGATTACGTATTCACTGTTTAAAATAAAAGGTAATACGTCCGAGTCCCAATGCAAAAATTATTACAGGATTACAGGTACATTCAAAAGGTGAGTCCCAAATAGCAAGAAAACATGATCTGGATTCGCCAGCTAGCTTACTTACACCTGTTAACCCTCATAGAAGAGAATAGACCACCCACCAGTATTCGCTATTTGACTCTGCCCTGGGTAATCCTTTCCAGTTGTCTTTTGGTCCTCCTCTTTTTCCTTTCTCTTGAAGATTACAAGTTGACGCTTCCCTCATGAAGCAGATTGATGATTTCCTCAATGTATGTTCTATCCACCTACAGCGTCTTTTCCTAATTTTCTCCTCAACTGAGAGCTGGTTTGTTCTCTCCCGGTTGACTAAAATACATTTATTATATACAATTTCATGACGAAATGTTTATATCAAGGTTAGTTGCACAGTATGTATATGTATGTTAACAAAGAGTGATCAAAACTTAACAAATGAATAACCCAAACCCGTACAAATTAAATTGAAACCTTATAGTTACAAATACTTTACGTCAGCTTACTTGACTTGTTTACACTCCTAAACCGTGTACATCTATAACCGCTACAAAGTTACGCATTTTTTAAGTCAATGAAATTCACAAACAAAAGGCGTAAGTTACGAAAAATAAAACTCTTGGCAAATGAAGATAGACATAAAACCTTTATAAACTTTAATGATGAACATCACAATTTAAATGTTGTTTATAAATGAGAGAAATTATTTGCACTATCAAATTCCGTTAGTCCTTGATGTCTGAAGACAAACGTGTTTTCATGAGCACTTTAAAAACGTTTTTACCACCACAATTAGTGCTTCAGATGGAAAATAAGGAGGTTAGGTCATATTTAGTTTTTATGTTGAAAGAAATGTATCACAATCAGCTGACAAAAGTATCATGAAGCAAACATGGTTTGTTTTCAGTAAAAAGTTAACTGACATCAGGTATCCACGTGACAAAGTTTAAATTTTAAGTGGTTGAATTGTCACTATTTGAAGTGCTATAAAAACAATCTAAATAAAACGGATTGAATTTCACAACTGTTATGACTTTTGTCCGGTTAATTATCACGTAATCGAATCGCCAAGTAGAACACGACTTATACCACCTTAGCACTGTGCCAAACCAATGACGCGTTAACCAGTACGAACAGCCTAGAATCAACTCTGAGTCCTTATTGGCTCTTCACGCCTTGCCCTCTCCGTCTGAGTCCAGAACACAATCTCAGCTTCCACTGTATGAATAATATATTTCAAACATACTTAATTTAGAATACAAGCAAACCAGATCACATCATACCATAAAATAGAGAACAACATTTATACAAGATCAAGCCAAAAAGTGGCTATGATTGTGAGATGCTGTCACTAACAAATTGGAGTAACTTAAGTAAATCATATATTAGTAGCCAATAGGTCAAATGGAAGCTTATAATAAGAGAAATATAAATATATATAATTTAATTACTTAGTAGTTATACAATAAGAATATATGTAATGATGGTCCATATAGAATTCCTAACAGTTACCATTCATTTATTCTTCGTTAAGATATAACAACAATGTATTTATTTTTTATATAAGACAGTCGTCCAGTGATAATATCTCACTAATAGGTGATGTTAAAAATAACAATACTCAAAAACTGTAGTGTATTTATATTATTACTGCTGATTCATTTTTTATTTAATTAAAGCCTTTTGTCTCTTCACAAACACTGACAGTTATTTCACATACAGTGATTTTACTTTTCACGAAACTACTCCACATGGCTAATAAAGATCAGTATTGCAGGATCGTGGATGCACATTGCTGAAGAGTCCTATACTAGAACGAAATGACCGTCCAGTGCTTCCAAATTTTCCATGAACTCAACTATTAGAAAAATTATTAATTGATAAATTCATTTTCAGATTTGATTTATCACACATCACAAAAAATGACAACAATCACCTAAATCGCTTGCTATTTTAATATCCTTGTATTTGTAAAAGGCAACATAATACATAAATACTACTCAATAAATTTCTTAAGTCATCCAGATATACAATATGCTGATCATATTTATTCAGGTAGAACTCATATGACCAAGAGGAAAATGGACCAAGGTAACATCTAAATACTGAGTATATTGAATCATATAAAATGAAGAATATCATATTGACTTCATTCTGACTTTTGAATAAAAAAATGGTACACCGTCAAGTTACTGTTGTAAACTTACTTACGCCTGTTACCCCTCCGTATAGTAGGACTGTTATGACGTTCGTATTGAAGATTCTGACTTTGATATTGGTCGACAGTTGTGTTAAATTCTATATGCTCTTCAACTGAAGGAATGCTGTCCTTGCTTTGCCAATCCTCGCCCTTACGTCTGCATCAGATCCCTTTTGTTCATCGATGATGCTGACCAGGTACGTGGAAGATTCCACATCTTCCAGAGCTTTTTCATCAAGTGTGATTGGGTTGATGTTCTCAGTGTTGTATGTGAGGATCTTGCTTTTCTCCTTGTATATGTTGAGGCCCAGTGACACAAAAGCTTCTGCTATCATTGTAAAGCTCATAAAATATTATTAAAAAATCTACTGTCAATAAATTCATAACGACCTAACTTCATAATGAATACAATATAAGTGTGGAGATATGGTTCCGTTATATGTGAGTTGTATTAAAATATCAGTCCTACAGTATTTAACTCAGTTACAATATCTGTGACTGAGGAACTAGTTGACGTGGTTTCAAATCTCTGGAAAGGCCATTGTGTTACTAAAGGATTCCAATATGAAACTTAATCAGAATGAAAAGATATCAGAGGCTTCTTGTCGACTGCTTTCAACCATTTAGCACGAAATATTTATTAGTTAGATGGATAAAGTACTTGCATAGTTGACAGTTACGTTTATTTATTTTTATTACATTATTTAAAAACTATCAATACCATATGTAACATGAAATTATTGCTTGTCATTTACACTGTGTCTTAGCTTTTGGTGAGACTATAATTTGTGGTCGAACTAATCACGTATAAGATAGCAGGTCTCAGATTTCGGTACAAGATTCACTCATTCGGATAAATAGAGTTTTGGTATAATAGCTGATATCAGTTTTTTATGAAAACCCTAAATCTAATTCCTCGTCTTAATCATCAACTCTAAATCATAATTCTAATTCCATACACAGGTGTATAACCTTCCTTTGGTCCTGGTTATTAGGTGGACACTCTCAAGGTCAGTCTAGAGTCGCTCAAAAGATCACACATAAATTACAATCTCACCTAACGTATTCTAAGATAATAAAAAGTTTATCTTCGAAAAAATGGTTCCGTTATATCTTCTATTAAAAGAAATAATACTATGGTATCTTGAAAACATTGTGATTAAACAGGCGATTAGCGAAACGACGGAATATTCCAGATATATTGATGACACGTTCATTGTCTGTAACAATAAACAGCATGCAATCCGCCTGCTAAAACTCTTCAATAACGCTCATCCTAACATGCAATTTATTATGGAACACGAACTAAATGACATGTTTCACTTTCTTGATGTTGCTATGAAGCGTAGGAGAGACGGGACAGTCCAACGTTCACTTTATCGAAAAAGTGCTTGGAATGGCCTTTACCTGAATTCTAATAGTTTTTGTCCACTCAGTTACAAGAAGGCATTAGTTAAAACACTATTTCATAGGGTAGAAAGGATATGTACCACTGACAAACTGGAAGAAGAATTGGTGAATGTGGAAAACTGCCTACGAGACAACTTTTACCCACAAAAGTT